ATCCAGGAGGTGGAGGTTGCAGTGAGCTGAGATCGCGCCATTGCACTCCAGCCTGGGCGACAAGAGTGAGATTCCATCTCCAAAAGAAAAAAAAAAGAAAAACATATTGTTAGTATTTTCTATTTCATTATAAATTATTTGTAAATATTGGTTTTGGTGCTAACCTAGAATTCCATCAAATTAATTGTTCTCTAATATATAGCCATTATCATTTTGTCTAACATTGTATTCTATTAACAACGCTGTGAGTATTGTTTTTGTACCTAAATTTGATTTGCATTTTAAAATTATTGTTTTAAGGATAAAGTTCCAGAAATAAAATTAAGGATATGAATTTTTTGAGCACACCTTGTCAGCACTAAGTAGTATTATTTAAAACCTTTTTGGGGGGGCAATTTTATAATTGAAAAATATATCATCTTAATTTGCATTTCTTTCACTGCCTATGAGATTAAAACAATGTGCTACTTTCTAAAAATTCTTAAGTCTTTTGTGTTGATGCTTTTGTTCTGTTTGTATGGATCTGATCTTCCTTCAGAACAGCTCCCCTTCCCAACTTCCTGATTTCTTTTTTATTTTATTTTACTTTATATTATTTTTTGCACTCAGAAAATGATTCGGTTCCAATGCACCAACTTCCTGATTTCTAACAATGACAGTATCACCCTCCTTCTTCCCACAATTTCTGAAACACAGAGTCACGTTTTTTTCTCTACTTCAATCCCTGGTTTCCCATTTTGGGCTGGGCATGCTGGCTCGCACCTGTAATCCTAGCACTTTGGGAGGCTGAGGCAGGTGGATCACTTGCCTCAGGAGTTCAAGACCAGGCTGGGCAACATGGTGATACCCTACTTCTACAAAAAACACAAAAGTTAGCCGGGCGTGGCGGCACATGTTTGTAGTCCCGGCTACTTGGGGGGCTAAGGTGGAGGGTCGCTTGAGCCCAGGACTCCAGCCTGGGTGACAGACTGAGACCCTGTCTCAAAAAAAAAAGTGTTTTAGCTTCATCCCACTGCACTCCAGCCTGGGTGACAGACTGAGACCCTGTCTCAAAAAAAAAAAAGTGTTTTAGCTTCATCCTCTTTGTTCCCATGGGAATGCCACCATCAACCAGCCAAGGCCCACACACCTCCCACCTGGATTACAGTGAGCTTCCGGGTAATTTGGCCTGCTACTAGTCTCTCTACTTGGATTTCCCTTCCTCCTGCTGCAACATTGCCTTCCAAAGCCATAAAAGCAAAGGCGCATGCCATGCCCTAGCCACGCCCTAACCCGTTAGACTAAGCCTAGAAGCCCCTGTAGGACATTCACCCTCTCAGCGCCACGGCTCACAGTTTCCCAGTGGAAAACTGTGAGGTTTCCCCACAGCCTGCCGGTGCTGTCTCTCTGGAGCTTTCCCCCCTTCCTGGAATGTCCTTGCTGTCCCCCACTCCTCTGGTCCATTACCTGTAACCTTTTTTTTTTCTTTGACAGAGTCTCTCTCCCTGCCCCCTGCCCCCCTCAGGCTAGAGTTCAGTGGTGCAATCTCGGCTCACTGCAACCTTCCTCTCCTGGGTTCAAGAGATTCTCCTGCCTCAGCCTCCCAAGTAGCTGGGATTATAGGCAAGTGCCACCATTCCCAGCTAATTTTTGTATTTTTAGTAGAGACAGGGTTTCACCATATTGGCCAGGCTGATCTTGAACTCCTGACTTCAGCTGATCTGCCCGTCTCAGCCTCTCAAAGTGCTGGGATTACAGGTGTCAGCCACTGTGCCAGGCCACAGGCCTAGACCTCTTTTAAGTCTTCATTCAGTACTGGTTGTCCCATGAATTTGTCCCAGACTCACCCATACGCTTAGACCTTTCAAATTATCTAGGGATAGCTTTTTGAAAGTATGGGACAGCATGGACAAGTGGGCCTTGGTTTTCTTCTTAAGAGAAAAAGGGAAGCAAGGAGGCAGTTATTTTGCCTAGGAAGGAGGGTGATACATTTCATTTTGAACCAGTTGCATTTGGGGTGATGGCAGATCCTAACATAAACTTATCTCTTGGACCATTGCGTGTGTGCCTAGAATTGAGGAGAGGGGCCGGGGACTGGCAGTAACAACTTAGCCACCATCTGCAGAGCTGACTGGGCATGCGGTGGAATTTAGAATATCTGTAGAAACGGGGAAGAGGACCAAAGACAGAGTCTGGGACAACACCTGAATGTAGATATCAGAGCAAGAGTTCAAGATGAAGAAAAACGAATCATACTTAGAAATGGAGGAAAACAGGGCAGAAGCAGAGTAGGCCACGCTTTTCAGAAGTTTGATAAAGGAATTGTGAAAGGAATGTAGTTGAATTTCAGGATAAGCGGGGGAATTAAAACAGTGTGTAGATCCAGGGGAGACAGCAAGTAGGGCAGGAACGACTGAAGGTTGAACAAATAAAAGGGGAGGTTGGGTACAAGTTGTCTTGAGTAGGGACATTAAAAAAAAGTGTGGGCCGGGCGCGGTGGCTCACGCCTGTAATCCCAGCACTTTGGGAGGCCAAGGCAGGCAGATCACGAGGTCGAGAGATCGATACTATCCTGGCCAACATAGTGAAACCCCGTCTCTACTGAAAATACAAAAACAAATTAGCTGGGCATGGTGGCACATGCCTGTAGTCCCAGCTACTCGGGAGGCTGAGGCAGGAGAATTGCTTGAACCTGGAAGGCAGAGGTTGCAGTGAGCTGAGATTGTGCCACTGCACTCCAGCCTGGGCGACAGAGCGAGACTCTGTCTTAAATAAAAAAAAATGTGAAGCTGGGGGTGGGGGTGGGTGGATTGGGCGCCCACCGTGCTCCGGGGAAGCTTGGGGCAGCTGTGTGCCCTGGCTGCGAGGTTGTCTGGAAGGGGCTCATGGACAGGGGGAGCTGAACAGTGGGGAAGAGGAGAGAAAGAAGAGCAAGTGGCTGAGCTGGTATCCAGGCTCCCACACCAAGGCAGAAGGAGGGAGAGGGCCTGGGCATCTCAGGAGGGCAGGGGCAGTGCCAAGCTGGGTGAGAGGCTTTAGTCTGACCCACCTTTGCCTCGCTCCTCCAAATATACATT